CACCACAGGAATGGCTTCAGTGGAGAAGTTGGTCCCCGGAGGGAGCTGGGTCTGTGCATTCCCAGTGGTGAAGCCCTGGGGGTGTCCCGTGCTGCTGGCCCCCTCCCCGGTCGCTGTTGTCCTCCCCCCAGAATGGTGGTTTTTGGCCCCAACTCTGCTGAAGGAAGAGATTTATTTCTGCTGCCCTTCCCCCAGCAAGAATTTCAGATTTTGGCGTCTTCCTCTTCCAGTTCCCTCATTCTGGGCCTCCCCGCTCCTCCCCTTCCCCATCCCAGCTGGCCCAGCCTGGCTGGACCCCTGTGCTCTGGGGGGGCTCTGTGGGAACCATTGCGACAGAGGGGTTGGTGTTCCCCGCCATCCCATGTGCAGATTTATTTCTGCTGCCCTTCCCCCAGCAAGAATTTCAGATTTTGGCGTCTTCCTCTTCCAGTTCCCTCATTCTGGGCCTCCCCGCTCCTCCCCTTCCCCATCCCAGCTGGCCCAGCCTGGCTGGACCCCTGTGCTCTGGGGGGGCTCTGTGGGAACCATTGCAACAGAGGGGTTGGTGTTCCCCGCCATCCCATGTGCTGCTGTGGTCCCCCTGCTCTCCCTGGAGCAGGGTTTCATGCTGAGACCCTCAACTGGATCCAAAAATCCAGGTTTCCTCCTCGAGAGCTGTGAGAAGAGGGGTGCCCCATCCCCCTCCTTTGGGGCTGGTCCCAAGTCCTGCTGGGGACCAAAACCCTTGTGAGCTTTTAAAAGAAACCTGGGTACAGCTGGGGAGTCCTGTGTGGGTGCTGGAGCTGCTCTAAGGGCACTGAAATGAGGGAGGGCTCCTGCATCCCCACCACAGACCCCTGCATGGTGCTGGTGGGAATGGCAGTGGCCATGTTGCTGTCTCCAAGCCCTGGAAAACAGGGACATTTTGGGAAGCCCCTTTGACACTGGGGGGCTCTTTGCATCAGGGGGCCATGGCGGCATTGCTGGGGGACGGGACCAGGGACGTGGTGGCGATGGAGAGGGGAAGCAGCTTTCGTTTTGGCAGTCATGGCGCTGCTGTGGTTTGTGGGAAGGGCCTTGTCAGACATCTTGCAGCCAGGCCCGACAGGCCCCGGCCTGCCCGTACTGGATCCAGCCCTGCTTCCAGCCTCCTTAACCCTTCACGGGGCAGCGCTGGGGAGGGACACAGCCCCCTGGGGTGGGGACCCCCATGGGGTAACCCCATCTCTGCCCATTTCAGGTACAGAACCTGAATAACATCGTGTCCTTCCCCCTGGACAGCCTGCTGAAGGGACAGCTGAAGGATGGCCGCCTGGTGAGTCCCCCCCTCATCCCATGGGTCCCCCACTTGGGAACATTCTGCAGCAAAACCCCCGTTACCCCATGCTCTTGACCAGGAGAAGGAAGGAGCAAATGCCCAAGGCTGGGAGGCAGCAGCAAGGGCTGGGGGTGAAGCCCTGGTGGGGACGTTCCTTGTCCCCAAGGAGCAGGACAGGCCGCAGCGATGCAAAGCGAAGCCCTCGGTGCCACTGGGGCTTTCTCCTTCCCTGACGGCTGCTGTCCCCTCTTTTCCTTTTGCCTCAGGACTCCAAGAAGCAGATCGAAAAGGCCTGGAAGGATTACGAGACCAAAGTGTAAGGAAACCACTGCCTCCAGCAAAATCCACTTAATCCCGCTCTGCACAAAGGTGTTTTGTCCTGGGGTGGCAGCTGGGAACCGATCGATGCCGTTTTGCCATCAAGAGGGCTCTGGTCCAGCCTTTCCCAGCTGGAGATGTTTCACCTGATCCCATCCCAGCATGGGATACCCCTTGGGGCAGGGCTGTCCCCATCCCGCTGTCCCCAAACCGGCCATCCCGTCCTGCAGGGGGAAGGTGGAGAAGGAGAAGGAGCGGGCCCGCTTGGCGGGGGTGATCCAGGCCGAGCCGTCCACGGTGGAGGTGGCTGAGGACATTCAGAAGGAGAGGCGGCTCTTCCAGCTCCACATGTGCGAGGTAGGGGCCGTACCGAGGGAAGGGACCGTTCAGCCCCAGGGGGGACACAGGGGACAGCTCTGCTCAGAGCTGTGTAGGGAGATCGAGCTTGCCCCCCTCCCCACCACCAAAGCAGCCCCATGTGGGACTCTCAGCTGTCCCCATCCCATCGTGTCCCTTCATGGTCCCAGCTCAGGGATCCCCACACTGTCCCCAAACTGGGGTCTCTGCAGGATGCAGCTGTGAGTGGCACTCATGGGTTGCACCCACATCCTCCTTCCCCTCCTCTGTGAAGCCAGAGGTTGCTGGTTGGGTCAAAACATGGGCCTTTTGTGTAATGTCACTGAGGTTTGCTTGATGGGGAGCTCATGAGCAGCTCCAGGTCCCCAGTGGTCCCAAAGGTCTGCGCTCAGAAGGTGCAATGGGAATGGGTAAGGAATGGAGCCCCCCCACGAGGAGGTGACTCAGCCATCCCAGCAGCCCCATAAACCTCTTGAGAGTGACATGGAGCAGGGGACAAGTCCCCAGGGGGTCTCTCACATCCCCAAGGGCTGGGTGGCAACGTCAGAGCCTTGTGCCCGCCCCAGCAAAGGGCAGGGGGGTGCGGGGAGGAGGCTGCACCCGGGGCCGTGGAGCTGGGACCGGGCCAGATGAGTCACTGCCTTGAATGGCCCCACTGTGAAATAAATCACAGC